TCTTCAAGTCTTTCACCTCCTGTTCTTTGTATCACCTTTCGAATTAAGGTATATTTTTTGTTGTTGTTGTTGGCATGTGGATGTCATCAATCTGAATTATTTGCAATATATGTACATAGGACTCTATCATTCCACCTATGTCTTGCTTTACCCTGATAGGGTCTTCCTTCTAAAGTCTCTGGCAGCTAGAGAGGGAGAAAAATCCTTTTCACCCATTCACTTGCCAGCCATTTCTCACATTTACGACCGCTTGGACCCTGATCATTTGTTATGTCCTGTCAGGGCCCTTGGCTGTTATGTGGCTCGTACTATCTCATTTCAGGGTATTAGGAGTGGGATCCTTTGGTTTCCTGGGACTTATCCCCCATTATCTTAATAAGGTGGCTTCGAAAATTGATTCATATTGCCTACTATGGTCTATCTTTACAGGAGTCGCATCTTACCAGATTTGTCACATTTCTATGTCAATGGCTGCCCATTAGAATTGCTCTCTGGAAGACATTGTGCTGGCTAGTATGTGGACTTCTCCCAATACTTTCATCTCTCATTATTTGCATGATCTTGCAGTTTCCTCTTCTGAAGGATTTTTACTACCCCTGTGGCTGTTTTGACTACATCCACTAAATTTTAACAAGGGGTGAGTAATTTTCTCCATCATATGTTCTCTTTTCTTTTCAGGGTTTCTTTACTTTCTATCTGGATCCTACTCTGTGGCAAGTGTTGCCTAGACAAGTGTGCTTTTATCATTCTAATTCTGCACTAGCAACCCATTTCACTATCCTTACTACTGGTTGCAACAGGCTCTGTAGAAATAAGGTGTTCCATAAGACCATCTAAGTGCATTTCGGATGGTATTATCATATTTTCATGGACCACCACTCATGAACTAATTATGAGTAAAGCGAAAGGGGAACCTGTCCATTCCTTCCAATTATCAGATTGAATAAATCAAGATCAGTTTGCTTTTCAAAATTGAGGGAACTCAGTTCACCTGTTGCACTGTTCCTCAGGGCTCCCCAGTGCATATTACCCTCTCCCCCTCCCAGATTCTACTAGTGGAGCGAGGGAGTCCTTACCACACCTGGTTTCTAGTTGCTGGGGTGGTGGACAGAGGTTTTTCCTCCAGAGTGTTAGAGTACATTCCTCCACTCTTGGAGAAGAAGGCAAAGTTAGGGGCCCTCCTACCCGGGTTCCTGGATGTATTTTCCAGATGTTGGTAAGAGCAGTGCCAGCCTCTGCGGAGCCTACTCATAATACTGATTCAGATTTGATCCTACGCTATCTGGTTGGGGTGTGCATGGCCCTTCTTATGAACAATGTCTGATTTTATATTGTTCATGGATGGAGGTCTACTATCACCTCATAATTTTGAATGGGAAATGGTCCCATCCTAGGTTCTTGGTTGAACACAGTGTTTCATGTCCTCTCCATAATTCCGGAGGCAAGTGGAAAGCTCCTTGCCCACATGGTTGGAATGTAAGGATGAATGTTCATAATTCCAAACTGGGTGAGTTCTGTTCCTTTGATTAAGTAAGGCATGCGTGATTCCATCATTCTGAGCCTGGGATGATGCCTTTTGGTTTACTTTTGGTGGAAGAAAAAGTTTGTTCACTTTAATGTTGCATCTAATCTTTTTATAATTCTGGATGTTCAGGACACATCACTCTATGACTACAGGTTAGGATCCAACAAAAATATATCTATATGTTACGTTGCAGTCCAATTGTCCTAGCCACAAACATGGGATATAGGATGGTAGACCCCTTAATTCCAACACCGAGTTGTGGAAACTTGGTTATCTGGTTGGGGCTGGCCTATAATAATTATTCATGTACTATTCCATCCCTGATATTGATATTAATTTATGGGTAAAGAGCATACCTGTTTGGGATCTAGTGCAGTTTCCCCACTTGGGTACCACTCTTATCTTGGTACATCCAGGTTCTATGCAGATGCTTTCTGTATAGATAATATCCTCACTGGCCACTCCACCTTCTTAATGTGGGATTCTAGCTAAAGTGGCAGCAGATGGTAAGTTTGTTTTGGAAGGTAACATTTTTCCTAAATTGAAAATGTATTTCCAATAATACTTACCTCCACTGACATTCTCCTGCTCTCTCCCCTCCCCCTCCCCCGACTAAGAGCCGATGTTAGTGTTGGGAATGGCGTAAGTTTCAAAAAACTGATTATCTGAATGAGGTGCTTATATATAGTACATGGATAGAGGGTGCATTGATGTTGGTGGAGAGCTTTGCAAATTAGATATTGCCAAGAGCATTCAAATGGGGTGTAAAAGACTGAAGGGGAACTTCGGTGAAAAGTGACACAATCTCAGAGTTAGCTGTTAAGGCTTTAGGGTATAGTTGGTTTAATGCATTTCTGAAGAAGACATCTTTAAAACGGAACCTGCAAATATTATGTAAGGTATGAGGGGCCCATGTTATGTATTTACAAAGATTATAGTTAAACAAGTCACAAGTGGATAGTTTTAGTCATATGGGACAGTCTTGTTTGTATGATTTGTAATGCCATAGAGTTGTGGTGTGTGTGAGTCAGTTTTCCTTACATAAAAATAATGATCTTCAGTCATCAAGTTATCTTCATTTGTCACAGGCTTTTGTTCAGTTGTTTTTCATGTTTGTTTGTTGGGTTGTTTGGGATGGGTTTAAATTTCTTATTGTCTGAAAGGATGTTGTTCATTTTGTCAATTTATTTTGTGTTGTTCATGATTACAATAGTGTTGCGTTTGTGAGCTTTTAAAACTGTAATGTTGATATCTTTACTCAGATTACAGATTCATTTTATTTCCCTGCTTATGAGATTGCTCTTCAGTTTACAGGTTTGGTTAATTGAAGATTTGGTTAAAGATACAGTTTTTGGGAACTGATGATGACATATTCTTGTCAAAACATTGTACATTTATGATAAAAAAAATTTCATTATCCATTCAAGGCATCTCCAAACTTAAAAAATCTTAGTGTTCTGGGTGATTAGTCTCTTATGCCAGTCAAGCAATGTAACGTTGCTAGTGGTAGAGCAAATAAGATTTTAGGTTGTATCTACAGAAATATTGAATATAAGTCTAAAGATGTTATAGTGTCATTTTACAGGTCATTGGTTAGACCACGTTTGGAGTACTATGTTCAGATTTGGGATCCTTACCTTAGAAAAGACATTGAATTGTTGAAAAAAGTTCAGAGGAGGGCTACTAATATGATACCTGGGATGAAAGGTAGTCATACCAGAATAGGTTAAGAATTTATTTTCTTTTGAAAATAGAGGAGTTAGAGGGAATGTGATTGAGGTGTTTAAGATTATTAAGGAAATTTATAGTTTTAATGCAATTTTTTTTTTTATTTAATGGTGAGATTGGTAAAACTAGAGGACACAAATATATACATTTTGGCAGGATAAGAGTCATCTTTTGCTAGAACATCTTAATTTTTCTAACAGGATGATTGGCCTTTGAAATAGTTTGCTTTCAGATCTAGTGTATGCAGTTAATTTAAGAGAGTTTATGGGAAAGCTTGATAAATATTTGAAATGTATAAGGGTTAGCTTTTAATTTTTTAGTATTTACTTTAATTTAGGGGATAGGATGGCTTAGATGGACCAACAAGTCCCCTATTTTCCTTTAATGTCATATATGTGATCATATTATACATTTTTATACGGATCTGTGTTTGCTACTAAATGTCTAACATTTTTATGTTAGTTGTATGTTTTATCCACAGCTTTTGCAAACACTACTAAAAAGTTAAGTGATCTAGTGTAGATTTATCCATTGTAGAAGCACATCTTTAGAAATGCTATGACACCAGCATGTTTAAATATGAAAGCATTCTGTTTTTGATAAGTGGCACACACAAACCTTCTGAGAAATGCTTTGAGTACACCAAGAGCTGTCATGTGAGAATTAATTTTATAACAGTTTTATGAAAGATTTTTTTGAGACTTTGAGAAATTGTTCTTATTTCATTAAACTGTTTTGTGAAACTTGGTTTTACTATGTTAGTTTTCTATTTTTGGAATATTTGTTTTCATATGAATTTTTTTTAGATATATTATGCATGTTTTTGCCTTATAAATGTCTGACTAATACAGGAAAATGAGTCCTCATTTTTTTTGGACTTGTCTAAGTAATTTTTCATACTTCTTGTCTTATTTCTTTAGAATCTAAAATCAGCTTTGATTGTATAATCAAATATACCACATGTCTTGCCAAACAAGTAACATAACATTACAGAACAAGGAATCGTCTGTTTCATCAAGGCTGTCTCTGTAAACCTACCATTGAGAAAAACTAAAAATTTAAATCTATCTTCTTCAGGAAATTACCTACTCCCTTCTTAAACTCCCATATGATACTAGCCTCCACCACTGGTGACAGCAACTCATTTCATAAACTAATCACCGTGATAGAAAAATAACTGTCTTAACTGGAGCCTAGACTGTTTTTTACAAATCTTAAATTTGTGTCATTTTGTCTTCGGGGTGAAGTAAAAAAAACCAAGCTCTTTATCCCATCAATCCTCAGCATAATCTTGTAAATGCAATCTTTCTTTTCACAAGGGGAAAATAATATAACCTATCCTTATAAGATAACCCTTTTATCTCCAGTTTCATCTTAGTAACCCTCATCTGAATCTTCTCTAGTACATGTAAGGTGTTATCCTTTCTTAAAAATAAGGAGATTGAAACTGCACACGGTATTTCAAGTAAAGCCTAACTAGTTATTTGTATAAAGAGATAACTACTTCTTTTGACTTGTAATTAATAACCTATAGCAAAAACATAATAACATAACAGCTTTAATTATACTTTGGTCATTCTTTAAAGCCAGAATATTTTAATCGAATTAGTTAAAAAAAATTACAATAAATGTTTGTGTTAATGTGTAGCAAAATTTCTCTTATTTAATGGAATGCTTTTTTAATTCAGAATCAACAGATAATTAGCCATTAAAATATCTTTTTTGCTCTTGTTATTGTTTTTGCTAGGCTCAGAAGTAAAAGATGTTCTTTTTATTGCCATGGCAGGCATGCATCAAGTTTGGATGCTTTTCCTTGAAAATGCAAAATGGTTAAAAGGGAGGTATGTCAACTAGATTTATTAGCTGTAAACTCCAAACAACCAGTGTATTTCAGTCAAAGTAGGTTTTGGTTTCAGCCTGTAAATAATGGATCTCTTCTTTGTGTTAAAGGTGAAAGAAACAATTATTATTACCTAAATGTATTCATAGAAGAAACTTTCATCTCAGATTTAAGTATATATATATATGTAAACATTGGTGGTTGTACCTCATGAACTATTTTTACCTGAAAAAAACATTTTTTTGAAACACAGAATTGCAAAATTTTAAAATTTATATCAAGCCCACCAAATTTGTTTTTCACCAAAATTGTTTTTAGTAGATCCATGGAGTTTCTATACTAGTAACACCCATACATGAAAAATGTTGCTTACTTCATTGTATATATATTCTGTCTAATAGGAACTTTTAAATAAGTTGTTTATTGAATTTTGTGTTATGTGTAGTGTATGCTGGTTTTAGGTAATGCATTTTATGCTGTAGCTCCTACCAGAAAGGAACGTGTATACGTTTTGCTGGAAGTGGTGAAGAAGTAAACTGTAACAATAGTTATCCTGAACGAGCAGGATTTGCTCAGCCATCGGGAATCACTATAGCACAAGAGGAAAAGCTTCAGTGTCTCTTTATTGCTGACAGCGAAAGTTCAACAGTTCGTCAAATTATGCTTAAAGATGGCGCTGTTAAGGCTGTTGTTGGAGGAGAAAGAGATCCAAAGGTTGTCTTTTCTGTACATGTTTGTGTGTATTGTAAGTTAAGAGTGTAATGTTGGATTTGAAAAATTTCAAAATTAATTTCCTATTTTTCAGACTTTCATTTGATGCAAAATGTAATACTCAGCAAAGAATGTGTTGGATGAATGAACTATTTAGTAGAAAAATTTATAATATGATCAAATTATTTATCACATTAATAATCATTTTTACTTTTTATTTTACCATAAATATCTCTAACCACTTTCCTCTTGATCCTTTTTGATGATTAGAAATTACTGTTTTGTATTGTAATGTTTACCTAGAAAAAGGGTTTTGTTTTATGCCATCTTATCTGTTCTATTTGATTAACTCCATTCTAGTGAGAAAAAAACGATTTTTTTCATTGTATGTGATTTGAAGCCTTACAAAGCAAACAGGTGTGTGTATTTTTGACACAAAATTTTTAAACTTCTAAACTAAATATTTTTCTACTAGTTTCTCCTTTGTGCACTATCCTCAGATAAGCTATAGTAGATGTGTAGTTATGAAAGAGATTGTTTCATGACAAAAAAAAGAAGTGAGTTATAGACTTGAGTCTAGAGACCTACTATCTTCAAAAACTGAGTGGGCTCTGCTGAGTGATTACTTTCAACACACATCATCTTGTTTACTTTCTTATACTATTTCAAATAGTTTGTCTAATTTTATAAATGCCATTGCACATAATGCTGTGAATATATTCTGGGAAATTCCACACACCTTCAAAATTACTAAATCTTTAAATGCCTGTTGCAATATATTTTGGTAATTTTCAGATAACCCCAGAGAAAAGTCACAGGTTTCCACTCAGGTAACATAGGAGGTCTGGATAACCCACATCCATACCTTTCAGGGAACCTGTTGAGAAGGATATTACATCCAAAGATTTCATAAAAAACACATTTTTTTGCCAATGCGCTGTTATCCACTGTACTTGAATCTCTCACATGTTCAGTGAAATGATTCCACATTTTGTACCATTCATATATTGAGATTGTAGTGAAGATTTGTTTTTCACCTTTAAAGATTTGCAACATGTTATTGAATGAGGGTTTGAATCTTTGTTATTTCTAATTTGCACAAATTACTGATGATGTCACCATAACTACTGGTTTATACTGAATTGAAAATCTTATTCACATATAACATTGACGTGTAGTTTAAAAATACACTATATAAAACAGTGATTATGTTTTTATGTTTTAAGTATAGATAAAAGATGTATTTTGTTTATGTACATGTATTTTATGCTTGTGAGAAAAGCAATTTATTCCATTGTACTTGATTTGAAGCCTTTCAAAGCATAGAGGTGTGTGTATTTTTGACCCCAGAGAAAAGTCACAGGGTTTCAATCAGGTGACATAGGATGCCTGGATAACCCCACATCCATAGAATTTTAAGGTCCCCAAAGCCTTGGTGGGAGACAGTAAAAGGGAATACTTGCAGCTGTTTTGTTAAACAGTTGTAAAATATTTTAGGATGGTGTAATTATACCTGTTTGACTTTCATATGTTTTTTAATTCTGGTTTTTATTATCTGATTTTCAGTAGGTATTGTAGTCAGTATGTATGTACTGCTGTAAATTTGTCAAGTATTATTTAATACAAACTCATTTCCATTAATTCAAACTCATTTTGTGATACAACATTACTTTGGAAACCACTATGAAAATAGTTTAAATATGATTGGTAATAGCAAGAATTAGAACTTTTACCTCAAGTGGTTTGAACATTAGTTTAACCCATTAATTTCTGCAGGAGCAGCTCAGTTGCCGTTTTCTGACTCACAGATAAAAACTGAGTTGCCATCAATCACAATAAAACGGTAATTATTGTCATTTGCATAGAGTTATAGTTATATATGTGTAACTGACGGATATTTCCGTCATTTGCAGCTGAGCCATAAAACTTCAATGACGGAAATAACCGTCATCTGCAGTTAATGGGTTAAGATATTGTAGGAAAGTCTCTAACTGAAGCTCATGTAGCATTGAACAAAGGTATTCAATGGGAAGTTTTGAAGACTTAGGAACAAACCGTAGAGCTGAGAATGTTTTTTTTTTTTGTGAAAGTATTTGTGTGTTGATTTATATTTGTCCTAAGCAGTCATTGTTCCAACCCAAGCAGGTTAATAGTCTTTTTAACTTAAAATTGTTGAGTAATTAAAATACCTGATAAACATAATAATAGATAAACTAAAAAATGAAACAGTAACATTAATATACCCCCTGTGCTTCACCATAATTGTCTGCTCCAGTACACAGTAGCTGCTACATAAAATGTTTTGATGGTGTATGTTTTTAATACAGCTTCTTTAAGCAATGGGAATTATACAAATCAAAGATTGAAATTTCCTTATGAGTGAATTTAATATGTGATCAATATTCAAACATTGTCAGTTGGTTTCTGTTGAAAATTAAACTAACAAACTGACATTGCTTGAATGCCACTTGACAAACCTTTGAATGATTAGAACTAACTTCCAATTCCTGTCTAGTGAAAAAAAACCTTCGAACACAGCTGTATTTACGTGTCATACATCAGAGTTATTACAAATACAAAATGTAGGATCTATATTAAAAAACACCTCATAGTCTATGCATATATTATATCAACATGTTTCATTTGTGTTTATATTTATTATCATTTAAAAAATTTTTCTGCTGTTCTAAGGTCCCCAAAGCCTTGGTGGAAGAAAGTGAAAACGAGTACTTGAAGATGTTTTGTGAGATAGCTGTAAAATATTTTAGGATGGTGTAATTATACCTGTTTAACTTTCATATCTTTTCATTAATTCTGGTTTTTATGATTGTTTTTTAATAAACTGTGCTTTAGTTACCTACAAGGTTTTCTCTGGTTTTTTATATTTTTCACCATTGCTTTTGCCAAATGATTCTTTTTCATCACTTTCAGTTTTTTTTTGAGCCACAAATTTTTAAGACAGTTTTATAGGTTGATGAATTGTCATGTTTTAGTAGGTATGGGAGTCAGTATGTATATACTGCTGTAACTTTGTCAAATTTTATTTAACCCTCTCCAGATGGGTCATGGGTCAAAGGCCATGTCATCGCATTTGTTGACTCATATTCAAATTTTATTGAACTACTATTTCATGAATTTATGTCAGTAAGTTTGGTTTCAAACTGTAGATTACAATTCAAACTTTAGTATTATACATTATTTAATTTGTTAATTTAAAAGTAAATATTAAAAAAACACAGTTAAACATTGATTTTTGTGTGTCACATGGTATGTTGAATGCAGCACTGGTTCAAATTAGATGTTTGTGATGTCTGTAGTTTTGTACGAATTAGGAACTCAAATTGCTGATATTGACAAGCTAGAATATAAAATATGATCCTTTTGTCTTTTCTCTTTGCTGATATATCACTAATGTAATGAATCAAATGCAGTGGCCCTGCTCACCTCTTTCCATTTTTGAAAACAGTCCCTTATATACACTTACTTCAGTATATGACATGTGAATAACCATTCAAAAGCTCAGAATGTCCACTTAGTGGCTTTCTCAGCCATTTTCATGTGTTAGGATGCCATCTTATTCTTTCAAATCAAGATTTCAAGGAGGTAGGTTGTGTCTTTAGTCTGTTCGAAATTCCATATTTTTTAGACCGAAATACAGATTAGTTATTAAGCTTGATAAATTATAGTGGAATTCTATGGTATCGATATAGTAATTTATGAGTTTTGGTTATTCAACTGTATATATAAAACCTAAATGAAATTATTTTGTTTCATATCCTCTACATGTAAAATTTTTAAAAGGCTTAGCAACCTATGTCAAGCAGCAACAAATTCAATGGTCGTAACTAGAAGAGATAATTGTTTGCTTTATTTCTTTATTTACTGTTCTATGTTTAAAGAAAAAAATGTTTAAGAACTTATTTCTAAATAGTAATAATCTATATACATACATAATGTATAATAATGGAGATGTGACTGTATTTTACAAAATACTAGTCTACTAAAACACAGCCAAGATGTCACTTTGTAAAGACTAAAGGTCAGTTTTATAATATTTGATATGGTAACATGAGAGCACATGTACCACGTCATTGTAACTTCTGTGTTGTTAGCCAGGCACAGGTGAAAGGTCAATATAGTAAAATAATAAATATATATAAATGTATAATGTTATGAGATTTAAGCAATTTAGTCTAAACATTTATGTTTCCGTGTTATAATTTGTAGTCATTCTAGAACAAAAGAGGCATAACTTATATTTATTTCCTAATATTTTATGGTGGTTATGAGATTATTCAAATCTACCAAACCTGCACAGAGATTTGTTAGTGAAAATAATAGATAAAATATAAAGTTTTTTTTCTTAAGAAACACTTGATAACTATTTGGACATTATATAGATTTCACATGTTAAATTTGAAAATTTTTTGATGCATAAAAGTATTTTTAATCTTAAAATGAAAAATTACTTTGCATGCTGGATAGGCAACATGTGAAAATTAAAAAAGGCATGAGAAAAACATTGCTTAACAAACCTTAAGACTTAATAAAAAATTGATAGTTTGCATATAAAAGCATTGTAATGTTTACTGATAATCTGCCAAATTTCCTTAACATATGCTTACTAACTTAAAAGTTATAGCATGAAAAACTATAACAAGCCCAAAATGGTTATGAGGTTGGTCCCAGGGATGGATCCCATGCTAAAAGAGTTAATACATATTTATTTCAATTAATGCAATCTTTACTGTGTTGATTGTTTTTGCAGTACAACATTGCTTTTACTTTGTGACCATGTCGACAAATATGAAGCATGAAGAAAACTAATTATTGCGAAAAATCTTAAGATCAATTTCAACTCCCTAAAATTTGAGCTACAATGCTAATAAAATGCTTTCAAATTCCACATTTTCCTTTAATTCTGTCTGGACCTGTAACTACCCTGAACAGATGCATATTATAATTCAAGCAAAAATAATAATTTTTTTTCAACAAATTTCAAC